TGGGTGGCATGTACGTACATGCCATGGAAATTGTGGACTGAGAAACGGATGGCAACGCATTTTGCCTCTTCTCGCGCCATTGGCTCATACGACAGTTTTTTTTCTCCAATATTAGCAGCTTTTGTGTTCTAAAGATATTAGACAATGGTATCTATAGTGAAGGTAAACCTGAAAAATTATATTTTTATAAATTACAGCAAAGTAAAAGCTTTTAGGTGCCAAATATCACTTGCAAACTGCCAAACTAGCTGGGCCCAAACAAGTAAACTACCAATGCATGCCAACAATCCTGTTATGTCCACTTGCCAAACCTTTTTACCTGTCGGCATTAGTTTTTGGTAATTTTCTATATTACCTCCGCCTCTCCGATATCGAAGATTTTGGTATCGATGGATTCTCACTGTCCACATTACAAATATAGTTTTTATTCCGCGGAAACCCCCCGTTAGCGACAAACTTGGCCCCGATAGCAGGGGAGTGCATGGAATGTTCCAGGGAAAACGCAGGGTTGAATAACACATATAACCCACAGTGAAAATAACCATGGATATTCACATGACTTTCCATTGAAGGGGGCTGTGCCCCCTGCAACCCCCCTGAGGGGGGCTGCTGCCCCCCAAACCCCTGCCGAGGGCACAAAATATCCCGCACGTAGTCACGGCATAATAGAGCGCACACAAACTAAATGCATCGAAAAAGGCGCAAAACCCGCTGACCTGACAAGGCCGGGTCACCGCCGCTCTTCTGTTTATGTTGACTATATCAAGGTTAGTATGCGGATTCAGTGGGAATGTTACAAGGTAAATGTAATACGTCCGCCACTCCGAGATCGCCGATAACTGTAACGCTCTAGCCTTCCGGGAATACGTGGTGTGGTGGAAGTTGTTTCTTCGGCGGGGGTTGGGGGGCAGCAGCCCCCTGCAATGTAAAGTCGTGTGAATAACCATGGTTATTTTCACTGTGGGTTATATTAGTGTTATTCAACCCTGCATTTTCCCTGGAACATTCCATGCACTCCCCTGCTATTGGGGCAAAGTTTGTCGCGAATGGGGGGTTTCCGCGCAATAAAACCTACTTGTTTGTGCATTGTTTAGAGGGGAATCCAACGATACCAAAATCGTCGATATCGGAGAGGCGGAGGTAATATAGAAAATTACTGTTTGTTTTTAACAATGTTGCCGACCTCATGGTAAATTAGTTTGCTTTGAAGTATTCATTTTTATTTGTAATTATACACATGTTAAAAGTACATCCTTTATAATTGACTTTTTGCTGAAAATTGCCTATTAGAAATACTAGTATTTAAGTATTCCAATATCATATATATTCAAATAGTTTTTTAGTTGGTGAGTTTACTAATTTGTAATGAAGGTATTTAGTGGAAGATTTGATGGCAAATAGGGAAGGGAAGTGCAGAAAATCTTAAGGAAAATGATTACTGTATGGTCACACCAACTTAGGGTAAACTGAAGATGTTCGTGTAGAGGACATAAAGTATGTGGTTGGTACAAGGAGTAATCAGCAGACATGAATGGTAATGACACAAAGGAAAAAAGGTTGCGGAAAGTGTTGCTCACAGCCAAAGTCCACTCAGTGCTCCAGCGGTTAAGACCACTTCCTTGGCGCAAAAGATTAATTTGCCGTGCAGCTCGCACACCGTCTTGTCCTAGTGTGCACCTCTACCTCACAGCTAGTCAGGAGGCAGCAGTTTAGCAGATATTTTTTATTGCTCATTAAAGTTCAAGTATAATATTCCATGTACTGTATCACAATTATGCACACGATTATTGACTGTTTCATGTATATTCATGTGTTGGCCGTTCTTACGTTAAAATGTGTATTGATCCTCAATTTGGCTAACTTGTTAATCTTAATTGCCAAACTACTCGAGCAATACAGTTGATACTTGTACACACACACACCCATATTTCTGGCTACACCAGTGACCTGCCTAATTCTTTTCAGTGATAATGACTGATGTCATTTTTATTATGGTGGTGTGCTTTTTTTTTTTTTTTTAATGAAAAAAAAATGAAGTGATAGTTTTTAGATTCATGGAATCATCCTAAATGAAAGAAAATGAAAAGTGCAGTGCAATTTTCTAATCTGTTTCAGCTTGGACCTCTGAGTATATTTTGTGTTGGTTACTGTGCACTTGAGCTTTTGTATATTCAAATATGGCAGCATAAGAGGACACTCACTTTTCAGAGAAGTTTCTTCAGTTTTAGAATGTAAATTTTGGCTTGCATTTCTAAAAAGTTGCATTTCATTGCATTCATAATTAACTTTGTCATTTACAGACACTGAAATCAAGCTGAGCCCACTCTTTATCCCTCCACCCCCCAACCCCCCAAAAATATTCCCAGGTGTCCTCCAAGAATGTTGGGTGGAGTTGGGGATTTAATCTCTGGTGGGTCTCTCTGTACCAGTCTCTGTACCATTCTTAAATATTGGAGGCATGGGTACTGGAAGCAAGATTGTGAATGTGATGGATAGTATAGGTGTTGGTACAGAGCTCACATTCTAAAACTCAAATTCATGAAAGCCTTCATTGTGGGATATTTTAGGGAAAATATGAAGGGAATTCTTTACAGTATAAGTGCACTTGCCATTCCACAGCTCGGTTATTTAGAAGTCCTGTCTTCCTAGTCAATATTCAGATCCTCAGATTTTTTTCTTGGTTAGTGTTACTGAGGGACACATGGAGGATAATGGACACTTCCATCTTAGAGCACAAGAAAGCCAAAAACACGGGTACAGCTGCTTTGGTCTCGTATTTACTGCAAAATGACAAATATTGCTGCATATTGTTGCAAAGGTATATCAATACTTGGATGAACTCCACAACACCTGTACACAACCAGAGTTCTTAATGTCTGTTTTCTATAAGGCAGCACAAAGTGCTATTAAGGGGACCGTCCCTAAAAGGGGCATGGCCAATTATGGGGGTGGGGGGTCATATTGGTAAATTTCTAAAAAAGGAAAGGTCTTATGGAATTCCTTAATTTTTGGATATTTTATGTATTTTCATATTCCGCATCTTTTGATACCAAATTTGTTGGTTCCTACGCCCCCTGCAAAAAAACATTTTTTATTTTTATTATTTTTTTTTTCCACATGTCTCTGTGCGAAAGGTTTCTTGTCCCAGAGGATTGATTTGTCATGAAAAAAAAATTTGAATGAACATCAATGAATTCCTAAAACTACTACTAAGCCCTTTTTTGGAAATTCAATTTAGTTTCCTCAGGGGAAATTTTTTTTTTTCAATTTTCAAAAATTCGTATAAATTTGTACCATTCATTACTGTAGAAAGTACTCTTATTCACCTTTCAAACACAGTTTGTTAGGTAAAGATATGATCATTAGTCTCTAAGCAAACAAATGGCCTCCCGTGAAGAGGGGCAAATACAGACACAAGACAATGACTTCTATAAAATCGGTTGTTTCGTGTTTTATACCTCTATTATTGCTGTTTTGTGTATATATTGGTTTACATGTGTATACGCATGTAAATTATTGTAAAGGTACATACGAATATGCGCATATACTAATTAGATCCATAATTATTTCATTTATTTTATTTTTATTCCACTCTACTCTACTCCCCCATCGCCTAATGAAACAAGTGATAAACGTTTAGTCACCAGCAGAGTACTTGTTATGGAGGGACAATGAATTTAGTGTTCATTACAAATAACCATTCAGAAAACGTTGATAGATCAAAAATATTTTGAAATACAAATCTTATATCAAATCTCGCATATTTATCGTAGATGCTTCTTGTGATGTAACAATAGGTATCAGATATTTGTAGGCCGATTGTACGAGTTTACACAAATAAATTCTATCATCTTTCTTTACATTTATTTATTCTCGTAAACGGATTTATAATAACATAATGATGTTTAATCGATTATTTAGTTTCAAATGAAAGCCCATGCGTAAAACTATTGCAATCAGAAAATCTAAAGCGGTGGCGACGCTTGGAGCTTTGTCGCGTGGGTCCCTGCGAGATGGCCATGGACACACACGAGCCTCCAGTCCGTGTAAATATCTATTCGTTGAGTTTATTTTTGGAGATAGACTTGTAACTGCTCATGTATTATCACCAAACCCTAAACATACTTTTATGATGAATTTGTCAACATCAAATATCTACTATATTTTATGGGATAAAAATTTGAAAAGTCGCATAATTTAGTTTTCGTCTTTCATATCCTGAATCTTTCACTTTGGTATAAAACTCTTTTAATAAGACACTTTTATCTTCCTGTGATCCATTTCAATAGGTAATGTCAAAATATAATGCATCTTATTAGCTCCTGTGAAGCTAGAGTGCGGAAGGGTGAAAATCGCTGATACAGTGTCAGTAGGACTTGGGGTTCTAGCCTCGCGCACAGCCCAAATTTTTCACCGCGGAAGTTCATATTCACGTGGGTAATTCTCTCATTTACGAATATGAAACTGACCATAACTAATTTTTGACCACTCCTACCCAAAATCTCCGACCCCCAACAAACTGGCTGATAGTCTGTGTCCATGTTGCAAGAATTGCTGGCAATGGTTGTGGGTTTCACAGAAGCTGGATTAATGGTATTTGAGATTTTTATAGATTTGCGATGGCTAGTAAGAGGATTATGCAGGAGTAAATTCTCATTACAAGCTGTGGCTTTTCTTTTGTTGATTGAAACTCTGAAAACATTTTAAACATGGCTTGTATTACATAAGATTTGGTATTTGAATCGATAGAAGTTTTCAATATAGCCATATTTTGGGAATCACTCTTGGGACGTAAGTTTGCACTTGCGCTGTGGTATTGTACGAATGGCAAAATAAGCAGAGTTGAAGGCTTGCAAATTTATGTGTATCCATTTGCCTTTTCATCTATAGCAAATATGAAGATAGGAATCACTAATACTTGACATGTTTTCTGTACCATTAAACTGCTGTTTCTGTTACATTTTGTATTAAATTTGTGAATATTCTTTGTTTACCTTCAGGTAAAGGGGAAGGGGAAGGGAAAGGTGAAGGGAAAAGGAAAGAAGGTTGCGGCAGCCCCTTTGGTCACCAAGAAACCCGCACCCCCCAAGAAGGTCCAGAACCCCCTTTTTGAGAAGAGGCCACGAAACTTTGGCATTGGTATGTTCTTTTTAGATAGAATGGCAAACAAGGTTGTGATGGTAAATCAGTATTTTATAAACATTGATTTTAATGTTGACAAAACTAGTTTTGGCATTTACCTGTTGACTGATTTTTACTAAACAGTTTTTAATTTTTGTGATGCATATGTTAAATAATGGTCTGAGTGAGGGATATAATCTTCAAACCCTCCTTGTCATTTTAACACAGTAAACTTAAATCCAATTACATTTACCATTTGTAAAAGCATTTTATTTGCCACTAATTCCATGTAATGTTTGCAGGTGGAAACATCCAGCCCAAGCGTGACTTGAGCCGCTTCTTGAAATGGCCGAGGTACATCCGTGTTCAGCGTCAGCGATCTGTCCTCCTGAGGAGACTGAAGGTCCCACCCCCAATCCATCAATTCAAGCAGCGTCTTGATTCCCAGAAAGGTACCAAAAGACTTGTAATATCCTTAGGTTCTTCAGAGCGGTGCAGAATCTGAATGATTCTTAGGCTCTGTTGAACGGTGCAGGATGCAAAAGATCCTTAGGCTCCTATGGAGCGGTGCAGGATCAGTCTTTCTTTTGTAAGTCGCCCATAGACCTCTGTGGAAGTGGAGGTGGTGCTGGGTGCACTGCTTGTCCCTTGAGTCTGCACAAGACTCTTAAAAGGGACATTGGAAGGTGAAACGACTTCTGTTTGGTAACCTTTATATATTGTAAATGATGAATGTATTTGCTATCATACTTTGCTGGTGACAATCTTTACCACATCTTACTGAGGTAATGGCACATTTCAATGATTATCAATTTATTTGAAAGATATTAATAAAAATGATTACTTTTAGCAAGGGAACTGTTCAAGCTTCTGCAGAAGTACCGTCCTGAGAGCAAGCAGGCCAAAGTTGCCCGTCTGCGCAAGCGTGCCGAACTCCGTGCTGCTGGCAAGGAGGACGTGCCAACAAAGAGGAAGTTGAGCGTGCGCATGGGAGTTAACACTATAACCACTCTTGTGGAGCAGAAGAAGGCTCGTCTTGTGGTGATTGCCTGTGATGTTGACCCTATTGAGGTTGGTAACAGTGACCTTCTGAATTCTTCAATTTTATTTTCTAAATATTTCAAATTTGAATTGATACATTAACCCCTGATTCATTAAACCCCCATATTTCAGATTATCCTGCACTTGCCAGCCCTATGCCGCAAAATGGGAGTTCCATATTGTATTGTTGGAAACAAATCTCGAATGGGAATGGTAGTTCGCAGGAAGAATGCTACCTGCTTGGCACTCACTGATGTAAGTATTAGCCAAATTGTATTATTGAGTGAAATTAGTATTAACATGCAGTAAAGTGAGTTTCTATTAAATTGTACTAATCCATTTTTGTTCCATATTATACAGGTGGAAGCCAATGACCGTAACAACCTAAACAAGCTCATTGAAGTAGTGAAGACCAACTACAATGACCGGTATGAGGAGATTCGCAAGAACTGGGGTGGCGGCACCCTCAGTGCCAAGTCCAGGGCCAAGTTTGCGAAGGTTGAACGCGCAAGGGCCCGTGAGGTCAGAACTGTCTGAATAAAGAGATGACAAGTTTTTGATTTTTAATTGCACCAAATAATGAAACTTGGTTCTACAAATTTAATTGTGCATATATTAATACTGTCATATGGAAGTATCAGTTGGCATTTGTCACATTGTAATTTTGAATTATGGCCAGTAAACGTGTCTGAAATAGAGAAATTCAGTAATTATCATAATTTCCTGACTAATATCTGTATGTAAGAGGCTTATGGCTGCAGAAAATGAATTGACATTTTAACTCCTTAGATTGGCGTTGTACTACCCCTACCCTTCCGTAGACATGACCTCCAACTTGAAGTTTATAATGGTGGGATTATCCAACCATAACCAGCCATATTGACTCTTCCTTGTCAATGTCAAATGTTGACGTTTTGGCCACCCAACCAAATACTCAACAGCCCCCTGCCCACTGTGTCCAAGCAGTTCATGACTTGAGATTGCCCTGCTGTCAAGTACATGTGCCAATTGTGGAGACTCCATAACATATTAAAAGGAACTGCCCTGCCTATAAGCTTGAATGTGAGGCAGTTCTGATTCAAACTAGGCCTCAACTTAATCTAAACTTATTTCAAAACAGTCCTTTGCAAGATGTTTTCTGCATCTCCCCCAGTATTTTTACCTATAACCTAAACCATCCTACATCTACTCCCTTTATCCCCCAGTCAAATTCTTTCCAGTACAAGTCCAGATACTCCAATCTCCACTTCCCCGTGACCTACCCCTCTTCCTTTGTCACACCAGGCAACCTAAACGTTCACTCGATCACTCTACCCCCTTAACCATTTCCATTTCACTGATCCCTGCTCTACCTCATTTCTTTCCACTTTTGCGATCATCTTATAACCCTAATCTTTGACATGTAACCTCCCCCCCTCCTTGGATTGTTCTACTTTTCCAACTGCCATGCTTTCCTAGAACAGCGTTTGTATACCTTCCCTGTTGACAGATACTGGAAATCTCACCCTACCCCTTTAACCCTCATTCACTTAACTAGAGCAGAGATTAGTAGAAGTTAACGCCCATAACGCTCTCTAATCTTTGAAATCTAACACATTTTATCCTAATATTCAACTCTAGCCCTTACGACACAATTTTATCATAGTGCTATATGACCTGTGTTGCATTTGTTTCAAACCTTAAACATTTAACATTGCTGCCCCCACGTGGCCCAATATGTGCACTTGACTGAGGACACCCCTGAGTGTATTTTATAACTTTGCTCTGTCAAGATTCCATGTCTTTCATTGCCAATGAAGTAACAATTGTCATTTACATTAATATTCAATTTTTTGCAATACATCCTGGTGGTGGTGGTGGTGGTGGTGGTCAGGAATAAGATGTTGAGCACGGAAAGTTTTCAGAACTGTTCTTAACAGCTGTTGCTCTTGTTAAGTTACTTTATAAATGAAATAATGCAAGAGCTGCTTATAGCTTGTACACAATTGAAGCAGGATGCTGTAAAAAATCTGAAATGCCTATAATTAGAATATTTCATTGGCTTGGCACACTGTTTTAAGAGTTGGTTTGTTAGTGTCCAAGGATTGGCCTTAAAAGGCAGGCAAACTATTTGGTTCTGCAGACTCCATGTGTTATTTGGGTATTCAACTGGCAGTTTATGCCTCAAAATTCAATCTGAAGTGGGCCTGATCAACATTTTGTGCAGATTCTGAAAGTAAACAACGAGAGGGGAAATGTACAAGTATTAAAAAAATAGTGTATGGAATATTGACCCCCAAAATCCAGATGTGACAGTCATATGAAAAATATATCATATGATGCAGAAATTTGTATGTTTCCTTTACTTCTCCCCAGTGACTAACTTCATCAAACCAAATAGCCTGTCCTGGTCGTATTTCGTTTGGTGATGACCTCTTTCAGGATAATTCTGTAGGTTATTCAGTTAGGAAAGGTCACCCTCATTTCATCTGACTAGTTGCATCCTTCCCCTCATGAATGAACGTAGGAGTGTATGTTTTTCCTCAGATGAACTCCCTTTCTTCATAATCTCCTCTGTATATCATCTATGCATTATTCACCGACAGACATGTGAATTATGTACTATCTGTGTGATCTTGTAGGAATGCTACATATTAGTAGCAAATCTTCAGGAGTTACTAGTGTGGAAAAAGAAGTCAAGCTTTTTCCTTTTATGGTGAAGGATTGTATAGATATGAACAGATATATAGATGTGAATGAAAATATAGATGTGAATGAAAATATAGATGTGAATGAAAATATAGATGTGAATGAATATATAGATGTGGATGAATATATAGATGTGGATGAATATATAGATGTGGATGAATATATAGATGTGAATGAATATATAGATATATATATGTAAATGAATAAAATATATATAATATATATATATATATATATATATATATATATATATAATGTACATGTATAAGTATATATGTACATCATCATCATCATGGGGGCTGACGCCGACGGGGGCGCATAGCCGCATCCACCCTTCGCTTCCACCTAAGAGGATCCCTCATGGCTAGACGCCAGGCAGGGACTCGGCCCATCTCTAGTTCTTCACGGCAGGTTTGGTCGATCTGCCCAAGCCATGACTTCCTCGGTCGTCCCACAGGCCTCCTCCACCCAGGGTTGTCTCGAATAGAGACGACCTGATGGGCAGGATCATCCTGAGGAAAGCGAGCCAGGTGGCCGTATAGCCTGAGTTGGCGATCACGGATTGTGCAGATAACAGGGCTTGTGCCAGTCTCACGGTGCAACCGTTGGTTGGACACATGGTCCCGCCAACAGTACCCCATGATCTGGCGCAAGGACCTATTGCAAAAGGCTTCAAGACGAGCCTCCAAGGCACAGGACAATGTCCAGGTTTCGCTACCGTATAGCAAAACTGGCATTATCAGGGCCTTGAAAACCCGAAGCTTGGTCCTTCTGCACAGGTACCGACATCTCCAAATACTCTTGTTGAGAGAGTTCATGACCCTGCTGCCAGGCCAATCCGTCTGCTGACTTCATGGTCTGACAGCCCAGAGTTATGAACTACACTACCAAGGTATGTAAAGCTCTCTGTGACTTCAATGTCCTCGCCGCAAGCACGTACCGACTGAACAGGTTCTATCAAGTCCCCAAATTCCTGGACCTTGGTCTTGGTCCAGGAGACCTCTAGACCCAGGGGCTTTGCTTCATTGCTAAATGCATCGAGAGCCGCCACTAGGGTTTCCAAAGACTCAGATAGAATGGCAACGTCATCAGCAAAGTCAAGGTCTGTAACTTGATATTGCCCAGCGTTGCCCACAATGACTTTGAACAGTAGCTCTGCCCAGTATCCAGTCCATGCAAGTGTTGAAAAGAGTTGGTGCAAGGACACAGCCTTGCCTCACTCCTGAACTAACAGGAAAGAAGCTCGACAGGCCCCCACCACACTTTACAGCACTTTCAGTACCAGTATACAGGCTTGCTATTAGTCCAATAATCCTTGTTGGTATTCCTCTCAGCCTCAGGATCTCCCAAAGTGACTCCCGATGCACCGTATCGAACGCCTTCTTGAGGTCGATGTAGGCTGCAAGCAGCCCACGCCCGAATTCACGACGGCGCTCTACAATGACTCGAAGCGCGAGGATACGGTCTATTGTGGACTTACCAGGAGTGAATCCGGATTGCTCCAGTCTCTGGTGCCTCAGTAGATGGTCTCTGATACGTCTCAGAAGGATGTGGGCGAGAACCTTGCCTGGTACACTGAGCAGTGTGATGCCTCGGTGATTGCTGCAGTCCCAACGGTCCCCCTTCCCCTTCCAGAGAGGGATGACCACACCCCTCAACAGGTCAGGAGGAAACCGGACTGCCAGATGGCAGCCAGGACAGCATGTAACCCCCGTGCCATAGGTTCACCACCAGCCTTTAACAGTTCAGCTGGTATGCCGCAGATACCAGCTGCTTTACCACTCTTCAGCTTGGAAATCGCCCCCCTAACTTCAGTTAGGGAGGGAGGGTCCTCACTGATAGGTGGATCTGGCAGCGGGATCTCGACACTACCCGCATCCAAGTTAACTGTTGGTGGGTCAACCTGGTACAGCTGCTCATGGTTTGTTAGTGTCCATATGTACATGTATAAGTATATATGTACATGTATAAGTATATATGTACATGTATAAGTATATATGTACATGTATAAGTATATATGTACATGTATAAGTATATATATGTACATGTATGCATAATGTACAAATGTATATGCATAATGTATGTATATGCATATATGTACAAATGTATATGCATATATGTACAAATGTATATGCATATATGTACAAATGTATATGCATATATGTACAAATGCATAATGTACAAATGCATATATGTACAAATGTATATGCATATATGTACAAATGTATATGCATATATGTACAAATGTATATGCATATATGTACAAATGTATATGCATATATGTACAAAATGTATATGCATATATGTACAAATGTATATGCATATATGTACAATATGTACAAATGTATATGCATATATGTACAAATGTATATGCATATATGTACAATGTATGCATATATGTACAAATGTATATGCATATATGTACAAATGTATATGCATATATGTACAATGTATGTACAAATGCATATATGTACAAATGTATATGCATATATACAAATGTATATGCATATATGTATGCATATATGTACAAATGTATATGCATATATGTACAAATGTATATGCATATATGTACAAATGTATATGCATATATGTACAAATGTATATGCATATATGTACAAATGTATATGTGTACATGTATATATGTACATGTATAAATGTACATGTATAAATGTACATGTATAAATGTACATGTAAATGTACATGTATATGTACATGTATAAATGTATGTACATGTATAAATGTACATGTGTTGTATATGTACATGTATAAATGTACATGTACAATGTATAAATGTACATGTATAAATGTACATGTATAAATGTACATGTACATGTATAAATGTACATGTTAATGTACATGTATAATGT